AAAGAAGAACCTCTTCTTCCACCTGGGACTCCGGATGTGGAGTTAATGGATGAGGTTGAAAAGTTAAAGCAAGAGATCCTGAAAGCAAAGGAATCATCCGGGAAGATTCCAGAGTCAGGCCTGAATGAGATGATAGAAAAATTGAGAAGGGAAATTGATTATGAATTTTCTGAGGCTGCTAAAGCTTTAGGTTTGGAGGAAAAGTTTGTCATAGTGCGAGAAGAATTTGCAAAAACAAGGAACTCAAACGACCAGTCAATGCATCCTGCTCTGAAGGAAAAGCTTGACCAGCTTAAGGATGAATTCAACAGAAACATGTCTGCTGCTCCAAATTATGCTAGTCTAAAGAATAAGCTTGAGATGTTACAAGAAATGTCTGAAGCCCACAAACTCTCCGAGAAAAATAGCAAGGCAAACAAAATGAAGGAGGAGATCAATAAGAGGTTAAAAGAAACCATGAATCGCCCTGATTTGAAGGAGAAGATTGATAAATTGAAGGCTGAAATCGAGAGTACTGGGGTATCAACAGTTATGGATTTAGACCAGGGGCTAAAGGAGAAAATTGTGCAACTTAAAGATGAAATGGAGACGGAATTTGCTGGCATTTTTGAATCTTTAGGTTTGCATGTCAGCCCACCATCACTTCCTGATGCCAAGAGAAAAATTGATGAATTTAACAATGAAATTACCAAGGTTATGGAAGACGTCGTGAATTCGACAGATTTGAAAAACAAGATTGAGTTGTTAAAAATGGAGGTAGCAAAGGCTGGAAAGATAGCAGATGCAGAGTCAAAGGCAAAAATTCAGGCCTTAGAACAGCAAATAAAGCAGAGTCTTGCAGAGGCTATGAGTTTCCCTGAGTTGAAAGAAAAACATGAGAAGCTGAAGGCAGAGATTATTGAAACTGTTGAATCCCCTGAAGGATCTAACGGAAGTTTGCTCGCAGATAATGATGGTTCTAAGGCAGAAGTAGAAGTTAATGTAGATGCAAACCGTAGCTTTGCATGATGTGAGTTCGTACAATTTCTCCACATTTCTTGGTTTCTTTCGCATGATTGAATAACTCTGAAATCTTTGCAGTTCAACCATGATGCAGGTTAGCTACTAGCTGTTGCAAAAGATAATCTGTGAAACTACTTCAGCATGTGGAAGATGGAGCCTCTTTCTTCGCGGTGCACTTACTTTGCATTCAGTATTTTCTTCTGGAGTTTATCTTCTTATAATGTACGGAACTACAGATTCTTTTTTTGGCTAGGCTCTGCCATGTTTTCCTGGATTTTGTTTTCTGTTACTTTAGAATAATTCAGATTTCTTTTAAGAGTTAAGTTAGATTGAACTGTTCCTTTAATTGATATTTAGAGGCAAGATACTGTATAAATTATGTGTTTGCAGAGGAGGTTAGAACATGCTGCGAAATATCTATCCATGGAGTTATCATATATGTTGTCTTCCCTGTACTATATCTATTTTTGGATGTCAGAATAGATTTTGCTCAAATATTTAAACAATCAAGAGAGCAAAACATCAACTTTGGGTCAAACTTCTGAAGGATAAGTAGAACGGTAAAACCAAGAAGACTACCAAGTGCTTGTCCCATTAATCAACTGTTAGATGTTTTTCTTTTACCATATACAGAGTATGGAACTTGCAACGAAAGATAAAGATAAGTTTCTCCAACACTACAAAAAATTGGAACGTGCGAGGTAGCATAAACATAAGTTTTTCCAACACTCCAAAAGTTTGAAACTTGTAAGACCAAGCACTGATGAAATGTTCTAATGTCACCATTCTATCCTCTACATTGCATCCTCGTCATATTTACAGAACTAGCGTATTTGCCCTAGCTTTATCCTTTTTCTAAGAAATCAAGTACCTATTCAACTACCACTTTGGATCCCACTCTCTTTGTTATTCATATCAATTGAAATGCTTCACGAATTGGAGATAAAAACCAGTAGTGACATATGTGCGCACAAGCTGAAAACATGAATTAGAGATTGGACAAGGTTCAAATGTCAAATATCAAAGTAGAACTCAAATGTTAAATACCACAATTTTTCTTCATTTTTCTACTACTGATAATATAATAACAAACACTAAACTGTCTCCCTTTTTTTTTTATATAACTGGAAAGAGGAAAAATGCAGCCTATGCTAAACCATCCTATGATGAGCCATCCGAATCTGGTGGTCAATTCATATATTAGAGGATGCTTCCCATTGCTGCCAGCCACTCGAGAAAAATGGCAGGGGCCTCCATGCCTGCAACCTGCGGCTCTAGGCCATTGAGATACTGACCGTGTTTCTAAAAAACAGCTGCTTCCAACTCTGCCAATTGCTGTCTAACTGTCTCGATAATCTGGTCCTGAATCTCCACAATCTGCTCCAGAATATCGATACTCTAGTCCTGAATCTCGGTAATCTGCTCCTGAATCTGAATACGTGCCTCACGACTCATTAATGCAGCCTTTCGAGCTATCAACAGGTTTGCATTCTCACACTCTTCCTGCATTAACATCGCCTTATGGTCTACCTCACGGGCTGCAATCTGAGCCTTCAACTGCATCAACTGAGTCTTCAACTGCATCACCTGAGCCTTCATCTGCATCAACTGAGCCTCTCGGTCCATTTAGAAGAACTCTTTTCGTCTCAATTTTCTCACGTCTCTTCCCATTTGAAATTCAACAAATATCATCAGTAAATCATTTCAAGAACACAACAACTAGGCAATCCTAGGAAGGAGGATATTGCCCGTTTTAGAAACTGTCCGGAATTCTACGCGGATGCTGATGGGGTATTATGTGTTCACTGTGAACTAAATGACTTTTTCGTCTTGACAAAGGGAAGCGTGTTGAGGTGATTACATTGGCTGTAGACCTGCATAAGAAGAAGTCTGCACTGAATCGTTTCTATACAACTTTAGCCCGAACAGACAAGAATTCAGGTTCAGCTACAACCGAATGTGAAGATTTTGGAAAGAAGAGGAACTTAGAAAACATTATGGTGTCCAAAGCTCCATCTGAGTTGGGCCTTATTAAGAGAAACTCCAGGGGCCTGTTAGATGCTGAAGGTGTATATATCGACAGCCAAAAAGAAGCTGCAGCTTCTTGAGTATGCACAAGCAAGGCTGACAGCTCCAGCGCATGTTCTACGTGCTCATGATTAGATTATGATGGCAACTTCTCGACTACGCCTAAAAGAGGATGAGAATGACAAATCTATTGATGCCTTAGATCAAGGAGAATTAGATGCAGGCAGTGCTGAATGGTCCAGCGAAATGTTTTTCTTTTTATCTTCTTTATCAAGAACAAAGGGACAATTTCGCTACTTGAAGGGTTTGGTTCAATCTAAACAAAATACTATCATTTTGCAAGTACTGGAAATTCAACTATAGTTCAAGTCACAATGGGCTCAGCGGCTCATGCAGAAGAAAAATCGGAATACCAAGCAAGAATTGAGGAAGAAACATGCCCTGTTTGCCAAGAGAAGCTCAATAACCAAAAGATGGTTTTCCATTGCGGGCATGTCATTTGATGTTAATGTTTGTTTGCAATGGCAGAGAAGATATTAGCCCCCCAAGGGAAGCCTCAAGTTAACTAATTAATGTGCCCAACTATTGTAGACAGCATACTGACTGCGGAAATATTGCTTATGCTGATGACAGTCAGAATAAGTCATATCCATCTTCTTCTATAGTCTCTGCGAATTCTGAAGCCTCTGTAAATCGAGGTTCAAATAGTACAAAGATTGAAGCTGTCACAAGGAGAATTTTATGGATTACTTCCACGAACCAAGCGACAAAGGTTCCATTCTTTAGCAGTTGGAATGACGGGCTTGATGTGTTAGATCATGCAGCAGAGGCACAATCTATTGGCAGGACGCATCGAATTGGGCAGGAACATATGACTCTCGTTCATCGTTTTATAGTGAAAGACACAGTTGAGGAGAGCTTATATAAGTTGAATAAGAGCAGGAACATCGGTGCATTTGTTAGTGGCAACAGAAAGAATCAAGATCGAACTTACCCGACAATTTAGGTGCCGCACCCGTGTCGACACGACACTATTATGGGTGTGGGTATGGGATCCGTACCGGATCTGGTCAAACGATTTTGGGTACTTTGACCACGACGGACGAAAAAATTCGAGACGAGATACAATTTGATTCCTGATCAGAACCAAAACTAGGGTAAATCTGAAGAAAATAGCATACCTTATCTAGGAAATCAATCTTTTACTTATCTACAACTTGAGAATAAAAAAAAAATTCAAACTTTACAAGCTATACGTAAGTATTCGACAAAATTTCTCATAATTTAGAGATTTTTTTATTTTTTCGAATTACCGGATCCCCACACCCGTATCCGTACTAGGATCCGTATCCCCGAATCTTAGAATTTACTCGAATGATCCGACATCTAGATCTGCAGCTGTATCGGACACCCACACCCGTGTCCGAGCAACTTAGAGATCAGCCCGTCTTGACACTAAGAGATGTTGAATCCTTATTCAGGGTGGCACCTTCTGCTGATGAAAGGCAACTGGGAGCTTGATGCATTTGCCACCTTCTCTTGCTGCTTAGTGAACGGACATCTTGTTAAGAGCCACGTGGGAACTGTTGAATTTACAGAAATTGTGCTGCTAGGGAACAACTAGGAGCCAGCAGAATGATCCTCTTTCATTCTGTCGTATTCCTGTAGTTCTCTCAAATAAATGTACATGTTTTCATTTCTTTTGTCACAGAAGATACTAATACAATAGAAAGACTAGTCAGTTATATTTCTTTCAGTGTTTCAATGCCAATAGAAAGACTTGTCAGTTATTATTAATGGTATCCAGCTAGATAATAGATAGAGCTTCTTGTTCAAACAGCTTTTAAATATGTTACACTGCCTCTAACATCTTCGTTATATTCCCCTTCGTATGATACAAAGGGATGTTCCTCATCTGTACAAGTAAGAAACATACTTAACTGTTCTAAGAAAAAATCTAACAACAAGGATCAAAGAAGCAACTCAAGTATAAAATGCATAAGTATTAACTGTATAAGCAAGAAAAACTCACTATTAACGCTAGACAAAGTACGAGCAACTAACATACAATTCAAAAATCGAAGTTGAAGTCTTCCTACTCCTGTTCGCGAACCTAAGTTAGATAGAAGGCTGTTCTGAATTAAACCATGACACTAGGAGATCCTCCTCATACTAAAGAGGCTGTCCTTGTGCGGTACAAAAGATTCTAGGTTCCTCATGTTACTGCTGAAAATCTTCATCACCCTACTCTTTGTGTCATATATGTATCCGCTAGAGTTCTTCTTATGCTTAAGAATCAATACTTCACCATTCCTCCTCGCTCCAGCAACAACGACAAGTTTCCCAAGTTCTGGCATTGTTCTCTCATTCTGTCTTGCTGATTTGTATGGACAGATATAATTTATCGACTCTGCCACGATTCTATGTTTCTTCGACCAAACTTGCCCTTGAAAATCCTCCAAAATCCAAACATCCATTATTGTCTCAGAATCACTGTTGATAAAAGAAAGAAATCCACCCAACTCTACCAATGAATAATTGTTCGTTTTAATCACTTCACCACATTTTGGAAGATACGTTCTACTGAATTTTGCCTCATTTACTTGCATCGATATGATATATTCACTTGAATCAACATACCAATGCAGAATCTTTCCATTTATCGACACTGGATCCTTCCAGTTAAACTCAACTGGGTCAAATGGCCGATCATTAGGATCTTCCCATGGACCAGAGACTCGTTCCCAGTGTTCATCACCACTGCTCAGATTAAATATTTCGAAACCATAAGAATCTGTCATAACATGCACTACTTTATACTGTTTTGTCGAAGAGTCAAATCCAAGAGCTGCACTACAAGCTGTATGTTGACAACCTGAAGGGCATTTAGGGATAGTGAGGCAGAACTTTGTTGCTGGATTTATCACTTGTAGCTTCCAAGCGATCCACGGTTCATTCATCAATAGAAATCCATCACAGCTAGAATGAATCTTACGTAATTGATTTATTCCAAGATCACGCGATTCACATTCAAGTTCTTTTCCAATCTCTATCAGCTTTGTTTTCATATGCCTTCCTGCTGCTTCCTGTATTAGCAATTCTGATTTCGATTCCATGAAATTTTGCTCAATGAAAGACCTTCTGAAGCACATTTCTTTCAATGTTTTGCAGACAGGCATGACATTCTTATTAATGTATCTTGGTGGAATCTTCACTAGGATGTTAACTATGATTCTTTCTGGAAATTTAGAAAGAGTAATCTTCTGACTCTTCTCTACTTTTTTCATTCCGCTGCTTTTATCTTCACCACACTTGTATTCTTTTATGCTCAGCATCTGTTGCGCGAATTCAATGTCATCGATTTCAGCAATTTCATCCCCCATTATTGTAGTGTGTACACCAGCAAAGAGCTCAATATAGGTTTCTGAAGGAAATTAATCTTAAAAAGTTAGAGAAACAAGGGCCAGAAAACTAAGTTTAAAGAGTTCAAAATTAGAACTTGATCAGCCTATCAACTTTTGAACAAGTTAAGGATGGAGCTCGATAAATCCTTTCACGCATAAATATGAGCGGAGAAACAAGGGAGAGAACAACAAACAGATTTACAGAAACTTAGCCATCTGGTTCATTAAATTTGATTTTCAGCCATGAGATATAATGATTTGCATATGATTTTACAAACCAAACTAGCGAATCAACTATCACAGAGAAGTATCGACTCAACATCGATCTCAAAGAGCACATGCATCAAGTAACACAAAGAAGTACTTGGTCTACATTTCACTTAACCTTAGTTTAGCAACAACTAAACAACAACAACAACAACAACAACCCAGTATAGTCTCACTAGTGGGGTCTGGGGAGGGTAATGTATACGCAGACCTTACCCCTACCCTAGGGTAGAGAGGTTGTTTCCGATAGACCCTCGGCTCCCTCCCTCCAAGAACTCCCCACCTTGCTGTTGGGGTGACTCGAACTCACAAACTCTTGGTTGGAAGTGGAGGGTGCTCACTATTAGAGCAGCTAAACATAAAAAAAAAAAAAAAGGATCATGTGCAGGAGTGGGTTTAGTGCACAAGTTATTGGTTCATCCGAACGCAATAGTTTTGTCTCGCACCCATGTGTTAAAAACACACACTAAATAAGTACACATAATAGATTTCAAACTCAGTAAATCAAATGGCTTGTGGTAGAATTTTGATTTCGAATATATGAAGTTTAAATCTTGGATCCGCATCTGATCATGTGTTAGTAGTTTTTTTTTTAATTAGAAAAAGGTTTATGCCATTGAAGCTATGAACATTACGAAAATAACACTACTAAACTTCAGGAATTACAAACTTCCAGCTATTCATATTGACATACTTAGAATTTTCTCAAGTTTACTCTGGACTAAAAGTAAGATAATTTCTAATTAATCTCCCCTTCAACCCAAATTATCTCTTAATTCCTTGTCCATATTATTTTCAAATATCAAGAGCATTCCAATTAAAATTCAACCATGCATATTTGCCTTAGAGACATATAACAATTACTCCCTCCATTCCAATTTATGTCATGCACTTTGACTGGATATGGATAGGTAAAATTAGTGGTGGAGCCACATGTACTCAAGGGGTGTCAGCTGATACCCCTTTGTTGAAAATTACATTGTGTAACTAGATAATTTTTATTTTATTTTATGTATATACACTATTTCACGCCTCTTGACTTCTTTGTGAGTTTGTTTTTTTGTATTTTGACCTCCCTTAGTTAAAATTCTAGCTCTGCCATTGGGTAAAACATAAAGTTTAAAGTAAATTATTTCTAAATACAGATAGACAAAAAAAAAAGTGTATCACAGAAACTAGGGCAGATGAATTAGTAAATAACCAAGTACATAATAGTAAAACCTTCGAGCAATTATCACATGGGAATAAGCAAATAAGAAAGTAAATAAAATTGTATAATCAAGAGAGAACATACAATTTTATTTGCTGTGGGAAAGAGTACCTGAAATTTTTGANTTGGGCTAGGAGTAGCCTGTTTTGATTTGTATTTTTGTTTTTTCTTTTAATTTTTTCAATCGTATTTTAGTTAAGAATGAACTTATGAATACATCAAAATCTTTAGTCTGATTGGATTTCGGTTTGACGAGGAGTACTTCTCAAAACTTATGTCTCTTAGCTTTTCATTTTAGTTTGTCTTAAGCAGTATTTTTAAAAGACGTAGATGTAAGGCGAGACGTTTTATATATGCCTTAGCGAGATGTAAGTCACATGGGCATTTAATTTGTAATATTTTATAATATAATATAATTATAGTAAATATTTATAAATAGGTAAAATTACATAAAAATTGAAGAAAATTATAAATATGTGAAAAATATATATAGATGTGCTCCATTCCCACAAAACAATATTCAAAACAATCCATTATATGCTACTTACAAGTACAAGTAACTTGAGTTGAAAAGAATAAAATTTTCTGTATGGATGAATAAAAAGGATGACTAACTTACAATTTGAACTTTGAACTTGCTACTATTAAGGAGAATGGAGTTCTATTTGTATTTGCAAAAAAAAATGACTATTAGTTACTTTTGGAAGATAGTAGCAGACTAGCGGACAAGATAAATAATTGAGAAAGACCATAAATTAGGGCTTCTATCAATAAAAAAAGTCTTGACTTTTAAATTTAACTAGTCTTAGGGTACACGCTTTGCACGTGAACCCTAATTTAATGAATATACAATTTTTAAAATTATTAACTATAATATTAAACAGTGTATTTATGTTTTAATAAAAATTAAAGAACGGAAGAAAGTAGCCTATGATTATTTCAGGTGTAAATTAAAAGTTAGTAGTTTTTTTTCTTTGGGTGTAATTGCCACCTTCATTATTCTATAAAGATTTTTCTTTTATGCTTTATTTTTTATTTCATATTAAAGACGATGTAATAAATTACATGTAATTCAAATTTATTATTTTTGTGTTAAAATTAAGTGAAGATTCATAGACTATCGTGCAATACAATCCGATTAACTAAATAAAGTTACAATTTGTATTGGTTAAAATTATAATGTAAACTTTGAATATATTATTATTTAAGATTTTGAAGTAAATCATGTATTTGTCACTCCTATTCCAAATCATGTAAAAACAAGTAAGAATCCCTATTGTCGTTGGGAAAGCCTATTTATGGAAAGGAAAAGAAAACCTTCAGATAAGTGGTCCTCATCGAAAACAAAAATATATTAATTATCCATATTATATTAATTTTAATTTTTTAAATATTAAGACTTCGTACATACGGTAATATTTTGTGAATAATTACAATTGTTATATTCAACTGCAATTATAATTTAAATACAACAAAAATACTATTATTAAAAAAAATTGTTGATTCAAATTATTAATATTAGCTCATTATAAGTTTTAAATAAAGAAATAATTTAATATGCAATATTTTAGTAGAATTACATTGAATCATTAATTATTGAGATTTGATCAGCAAAATAAATTACATCGAACCTCAATTTTACAATAAATTAGGTTCAATCATATTTTTCTTTCAGTCGTGTTTGGACAACCAAATTTTCAAGGAAAGGACTTGTAATATATAAAATATTGGTTGACTTAAACTTCTAAATATTAGGACTTCCTATCTTATTGAATAAAGAGATATTTAATAAACCGAAACAACTAAGGGTTTATAAAACAAGGTTCTTGCCATTTTTACTCATTTTTGAGTTTATGGAGCTTAGTTTAGGCGATTTTCATGGGAAAATATTGGGGTAAGTGTTCCTTATCCTATATTGATTATATTTCATGATTCCATATACATTTACATCATGAATCCATGAATTTATGGAAGAAAAATCAGATTTTTATAAAATCTTCCAAAAATGTAAAATGAAGATTTGAAGGTCAATCCGATGTCGGAATCTGATAATTTTTATATGGTTGGACTCGTATCGGAACGAGTGTTCAGATTTTGTAACTTTTGTCGGGTTCCGAGACGTGGGCCCCATGGGCTATTTTTGAGCTAAATTTCGGATTTTTATGGAAAATTAGCATTTTCATATGGAATTGATTCCTATACCTTGTGTTGATTGTATCAAATTATTTTGACTAAGATTCGAGGCGTTCGGAGGCCGAATCAAGAGGAAAAGGTTTATTGGAATTAAGAATTTGCTTGGATTGAGGTAAGTAACTCTTCTAATCTTGGAGTTGAGGGTATGAACCCTGAATATATGTATTTTGTGAATTGTTGGGAGGTGACGCACATGATAGGTGACGGGCGTATGGGTGTGCACTATAGAAATTGTGACATAATTATTTCTGTGAAATTTTATAGTTAAATAATCTTGGCATTTTCCATGCGGTTTTATGTGTTAAAGACATTGAGTTGAAAAGCATATTACAAATCATGTTGAGGCTATGTGCCAGTATTATTGGGACCCACATATGTCATAATGCTGTGAATTATTGTGTTAAATTGAAAATTCATACTCAGTCATATTCATTTCATTGCATATCATAACTCAGTTTTATGACTCTATTTTGATGCATAAAAATATTTTGGGCCGAATGCCCTGTTTTACTGAGATGCCCGAGTAGCTTGAGAGGTTTATGACTGAGTGAGGCCGAGGGCCTGATTTTATGTTGCATATTTATGGGATCGGGCTGCACGCCGCAGCATGTTGTATATTTATGGGATCGGGCTGCACGCCGCAGCATGTTTGATATCGGCCGAGGGCCTGATTTGTGAGGATATTAATACCATAGCGCGTGAGTTATTCGCGTAGCATGTGAGTTGACCGTGCGGGTCCAGGTATTTATACCATAGCACGTGAGTTGTCCGCGTAACACGTGATTTGACCGTGCGGATCCAGGTATTGATATGATGGCACGTGAGTTGTCCGTGCAGATTATAGCGCTTGGGATGAAGGATCCCCTCCGGAGTCTGTACACACCCCCAGTGAGCGCAGGTACCTACTGAGTGCGAGTGCCGAGTGCTGAGTGACTGGGAGGCATGAGTGATTGTGAGGTATGCCCGAGTGGCAAGAGTGATTATGAGGTATGCCCGAGTGGCAAGAGTGATTATGAGGTATGCCCGAGTGGCAAGAGTGATTATGAGGTATGCCCGAGTGGCAAGAGTGATTATGAGGTATGCCCGAGTGGCAAGAGTGATTATGAGGTATGCCCGAGTGGCAAGAGTGATTATGAGGTATGCCCGAGTGGCAAGAGTGATTATGAGGTATGCCCGAGTGGCAAGAGTGATTATGAGGTATGCCCGAGTGGCAAGAGTGATTATGAGGTATGCCCGAGTGGCAAGAGTGATTATGAGGTATGCCCGAGTGGCAAGAGTGATTATGAGGTATGCCCGAGTGGCAAGAGTGATTATGAGGTATGCCCGAGTGGCAAGAGTGATTATGAGGTATGCCCGAGTGGCAAGAGTGATTATGAGGTATGCCCGAGTGGCAAGAGTGATTATGAGGTATGCCCGAGTGGCAAGAGTGATTATGAGGTATGCCCGAGTGGCAAGAGTGATTATGAGGTATGCCCGAGTGGCAAGAGTGATTGTGAGGTATGCCCGAGTGGCACGAGTGACTGTGAGTTTTTGCCCGAGGGGTTGTATATGAGTGATGTTCTGCCCAAGGGGCTGTTTATGATTTTTATCATTGAGTTGCATTACATTGGCATGCACACATGACATACAGGCATAGAGATGTACTTTTCCTCATGCTGTACAATATCACATCATTTATGAGTTTTCACACATTGTTGACAGATGTGCATAGTGATGCATTTATTTTTACACGGGTTATCCGGATGGAAAATAAAACATCTTATTTATTATTGGCAAGATTTTGGGAGAAATTTATTGTTTTCAAACTATTCATATTTTTGGCAACTCCAGCAAATGATTTGGGTTTTCACTGATGTATTTGAAAGAAAGAACTACTATTTTGAAATCATGATTTGGCTGAGAATTTTGTCTCTGAGTTACTTCTGGTATTATTTGCTTTATGTTATTATGGATTATTGTGGACTATTGATTTTGGACCCGACTTGGTGAAAGCTCGTCACTACTTTCAACCTATGGCTAGGTTTGTTACTTACTCAGTACATGGGGTCGGTTGTACTTATACTACACTTCTGCACATTGCGTGCAGATGTTGGCTGCTGTTGTTGCTGTGATCGATGGTTGCAGGACTTGAAGATGTACCTGCGTTCCTGTTGTAGCTGCCTCTTATTCAGGGTAGCCTTAGATTTATAAAAGCTCTGTTTATGTATTATTCAAACAGACTATGTATTTATTTCATTTTCGCTTTGTATACTCTATTCTTAGAAGCTCATGATTTGTATTACTAGTTCTTGGGGAGATGTATCGATTTTAGATATTTTCTTTTAATTAATTTCATTGGAATTGGATAGTTAAAAATTGGCTTACCTAACGGGTGGGGTTAGGTGCCACCACGACTAGTGAAATTTTGGGTCGTGACAGGCTTATGCCTCACTACAAAAACACGTCCCAACGCCCGGATATACACCCGAAATTGCTGGGTGTACGCCTCTTGAGACTTTTGCCCCCCACCATCGCCTCAGGGCACTTTTGGTGCGTCTCGCCCCGAAAACGCCTTTTAAATACTGGCCTTAAGCAGAATAGTATTACTTTTTTATATTTAGTAAATTTTTAATTACACTATTCCATTTTACTTTTATCGACACTCCTTTATAAAAATATCATGATATGTTTAAGACCATAAAATTCAAATGTTACTTTTTATCTATCCCATATAATTAGTACAAAATTTAAAAAATTATATCGTTTTGTATATGGATGGTAAAACGCTTTGAATCATGATTGCATTTATAAGAAAAGAATTGCATATAGAAATCATAACAATTTGAATATGTAAGCTAAGTAAAATAGAAGGAGAAGATAAAATGTATGATCGATGAATGTTAGCCCAAAACAATTATTTTACGCATGAGAAGTTAAAGAGTTATC